AGAAGCCACTTAGTCACAAACATTGGCCAAAATTAACATTCATATTTGTTTGTGTGTGAATAATGCAAAAAAACCCTAATTTTAACGCAAATTTTGGTTAGTGTTTGTGACTAAGTGGATACTAAAAAAGACTGGACATACCCCTTGGATTGTCTACTTTTGTAAATGGTATGCCATCATGGGGGTAATTCTCATTCCTGGGCTACCATACGCTCTCAAAGGCAACAAAACCAATCTGGCAAATTTCAATGTGAAAAAACTGAAATGCAAGCCTTATATGTGACTGTGTAATTTTGAAAACACCATAAAACCTGTACATGGGGGTTACTGTTATACTTGGGAGACTTCGCTGAACAGAAATATTAGTGTTTCAAAACAGTAAAATGTATCACAACAATAATATCGTCAGTGAAAGTGTCGTTTGTGTGTGAAAAATGCAAAAAATTGCACTTTCACTGATGATATCATCGTTCTGATAGGTTTCACTGTTTTGAAGTCTCCCGAGTAAAACAGTATCCCCCATGTAAAAGTTTTATGGTGTCCTGGAAAGTTACAGGATTAAATATAGGGCTTGTGAACCAAATTCTCTGGACTTTCTGTCTGGATTGCCAGGCAGGTCCCTCAAATTGTAATTAATAAAATGACTTAATTATGTAAAAATATTATATAAATATATTTGTAGAATTTAAATATATATGTATATATCTTTTCCCAACACCGGACCATAAGGAAAGGCCACAAGGGGAAGGCCTACCGGCACCAGTGGGAGACCTCCGCGCAGGTAATTGATAAACCTGTCATTAACCTGTTTTCTAGGAGTCTTACCAAAACTGAAACTAATCTATTGTCTAAAGGTTTATCTTTCACTCCCACCGATGAGGCTGATGAATTTGAATGGGAAGTAGACCATTACAAATTTACCCGTAGACTAAGACTTGCTGACTACTTCAGAATGGGTTTAAATCCAGATGAAAACATTAATAATATAAATATCAACATAGACAAACTTAGACTTCACAGTCTTTTTGACCCTCCTAGTTCAAATGCTGCCTTAAAAGTTTTCTCACAAAATCTTAAGACAGATGGTAGAAATCTTCTTACACAAAAAAACACCATGTGCGCAAATATTTCCAAATTGGAAAGTGAAGCTCTAAAAAAAAAATTGCTACAGATTTATCCATCGTGATCTCCTCCGCCATTGTCATCATGCAGTATTATGACTTTAAAAAAGAAATCTTGAGACAACTATCAGAAATGGGAGTGTATAAACTATCGGTGACTGACCCTAGCGTTGAATTTGGGGAAATCATTGAACAAACACTAAGAAGAGGTCTAGAAGCAGGTTTTATAGCACAATCTGGGTTTGAATATTTACATGAAACCCACCCAAGATCCTATACTGTACACTTTGCCCAAAGTGCATACAAATCTTGAACATCCACCAGGTCGCCCCATAGTGTCTGCCAATGGGGGGCTTTTGGGACCTATGTGCAAGTGGTTGGATCATTTGTTTAAAGAACCAGTCATGTCGTTACCCACCTGTGTGAAAGACAGTGAAGAAGTCATTAAACAACTTAAAAATTTGATCTTACTGCAGGATGAAGTCTTATTAGCCACCATTGATGTATGCAGCTTGTATACCATTATACCACACCATGATGTATAAAAGCCATGAAGGAAGTTCACTATGTTCAGCAGACAGGCACATCGATGGGGGCACCGATGAGCCCCATGTATGCAAATGCATACATGTACACATATGAGCATATCTTGAGATTATATGGCACTTGCATCTATAAATACTTCTGCTTCATCGATGACATCTTCCTGGTATGGACGATGGGTGAAGAAAGATTTACATCCATGATGAATGAGTTGAATTCTTTACCATTTCCTGTCAGACTTACATACCAATTGGATGCTGTACAAATCCGTTTCCTGGACCCTAAGATTTTTATTAAGGATAACTGATTGGGCTATACTTTATTTTCCAAGCCCTCTGATAGAAATACGATCCTTCACGCAACTAGCTTCCACCCCAAAAATTGAAAGAGTCTCTGCCGGTATCTCAGTTTATTAGAGTGCTCTGGAATAATTCCGGTAAAAAAAAGGCTGATGAACAAATACATGATATGTATATTAAAGTTTAACAAAGGAGATATTCGAAGCTTATCCTGGATCAAGCATTTACACGAGCAGTAAAAGCAATGCCAGGGCAAAGCAAACAATTGGAAACTGGTAATCGATTCACTTTTCCCCAGGCTTTTCACCCCAAGTCTCGGGAACTGAGGGAAAGTGTCCAAAACAATTGGACGATAATGACTAAGGATTCCATCTTACCCGTAATGTTTCAACAGACGCCTATTGCCTATTATAAGCTACAGGAGAGGCAAGAACTTGAGTGATTTGCTCGTGCATACTGACCAAATACCAAAGATTGAATGCCTACCATCAGCTACCAATGCAGGATGCTATTGATGCTTGAACTGCCTGGCCTGTAACTTTATGATCCCAGGGGAAATATTTTACCACCCTAGATCTGGGAAAGTCTACAAAATTAAATACAGAATTTGTTGCTCTACCACTCATGTGGTATATCGTATCATTCGTCAATGTGGCTCACATACGTGGGGGAAGACCTCTAACGACCTGAGAGAATGGTTCAAGGTCATCAATCTGCTATTCGTACGGTACTTGTGAATGGCACTCCTGTTCCCTGTCATTTCTTGGAATCAGGCCATAATCTCTCTTTTCTCCAATTCATGGGAATAGATCATGTGTGTGACGGACTGCCTGGCACCCCGACCGGGTATTTCCGTCAATCGCTGCTCCCTAGTACTGGCGAGTACTATAAGCACTGCACTGGAACACAATAACCATCGTAAACCCCAAGAACCACCGCAGGTTGGTTGGGGTCTCGCCGTCCTCCACCCACCCTGGACTCAAGACCAGTATCCAGCTTCCAGTGGGTAGGCCTCTCCTAGTCCAGAGAGCACAGCAGGAACAGATCTTACAGGAGCTTAGTGATTATACTCAGGGGAGTATAGTGATTATAGCAATCCCAAGAGTGTAGTTCTCCAATCCCCCAAACACGAGCCGAAACTTCATGAAGGTGCAAGATGATCTGAGCTTTAATGGTTCAGGTTGGCTTTTATACAATTCTCCAGGCCAGAAGAACACCCCCTGGACCTGATTGGGCACAGGAACACAAAGAACATAAACCAATCAGAACAAACATACAGTCTGTGATACGCCCATGTACAGCACACAATCCCTCCCCTCTGCTTGGAAGATAATAGAGTAAAGTCCTGTAAGTAACTCAATTATCTCCAGGCAGAAAAAACACATTTTCACAAAGTTCAGAAAATACCCCAAAACATAACATACCCCCAAAAATGTTACATCCTCGGATAGCCCTAATTTGGGTGACCCAAAATGACCCAGATCAGAGGAGTGGTTCAAAAGTTTCATGAAAGTCTCTTTTTGTCAGGATTACTGTTTGATCCAGCACGTAGAACTGTACAGCATGGATGACAAATAAGTAACGTATTACCGGTCCTTAGAATGGCCGGATTTAACGTACAAAGAATAGTCAAAAATACTAGCCGAGGTCAGGGAACAGATAAAGGGACACAGCGATGAGGAAAGCCAGGAGTCAGGATACCAGAATATAGAGAAGTCAATAAACAAAGCCAAAGTCAAAAACCAGGTAGAAAACTATAAACAGGAACGCGCTCTCAGACAACCACAAGGGAAACCACGACAGGGCACTGAGCAGGCTGAGAACTGGGCCTAAATACCCCTCCTTTAGTTCTGATAGGCTGTAACCGGCCTTTGACCCCAAAGTCAGTTACCAGGTTTCATTTACATAATTGCTGCTCAGCATTAACCCTTCTGTAGATTAGGTTGCTGCTCGGCACAACTTTTCCTGTGTGGACAGTAAATGTCATTAATCACTTTTCTCTAAGCGGATGAATACATGACACCAGGTTTCATTTGCACAATTACTGCTCAGCATTAACCCTTCTGTGGATTAGGTTGCTGCTCGGCACAACTTTTCCTGTGTGGACAGTAAATGGCATTAACCACATTTCTATAAGCGGATGAATATGTGACACTTTTTGACCGGCTGCAAGCATGGCTTCATGCCCAAAACAGTTCCAAGGAATTAGGGCCAGTGGTCGGTCTCTCTGTAAAAGTACTTACATTACATGAATGGAGCCTTTTAAAGTGTATTGGGCAAGGAATATTGCAGGGCCCATAGTCACAGGCTAGGAGGCAAGCAAACAGGCTCTCCAAAAACTCATTGCAAACTCACAGAAAAGGGAGAGTTTGTCACAATGTGCCTATTTCCCCAAGGGGTGGCAATCGTGACATTCTATAATTGAAACGTGAAGCCTTTTGGATACATAACCTGGGTACTCTAGTCCCCCATGGACTCAATGAGAAAAATTATCCTTATTGCTTTCTCCAAAGGAGATAAGGGGATTCTTCTAATGGTATCAGATATGAGCATGTGGTCCTTATAAAAATATTTTTAGGGACTCATATGCATATTGCTCCTATGCATAACGTGTGGGAATCCACAATTAATCTACTTGCAATTTAGATTTGGAATCTGCCACAACTGTATATTAGTGTATATATTTGTTGAAATATAGCTATATTTTTTTAGTAATTGTATTTATACATAGCTCTCTCTCTCTCTCTCTCTCTCTCTCTCTCTCTCTCTCTCTCTCTCTCTCTCTCTCTCTATATATATATATATATATATATATATATATACCAAAAAGATAGGTTCGGCACTGTACTCTAGCCAAAAGAGAGACTTCTGCCAAGGTGCAAACCCACGATTTATATAAAGAAAAAATAAAACAAATGTGCATTCCTGGACTTAATAGCTTTTTTTTCTATTTTATTGTGCACCTTTGTTTCATTTTTTCTGTATATATATTGTGACAGAAAGCAAGGAATTGTGCTGGAAGGAACCTATATACCTCCCCAGATTTTGCAAGGTTCTTACTTTGTGTAATTAGCCCCAGGGAAATGTGTTATGTTCTAATGAATGTTGCACTTTAAATATGTGTATATTTGGGCCCTGGGGTGGAGCACCTGGAGAGTAGGGTGGGCCAGTGCTCCACTCCACATTTTGGAAGTTGCTTGGTGAGAAGTCCAGTTCTGGAGTTTGAATCCTAATCTAACTCACCTGAAAAGGTTTGTCAATTACCAGTGCTATTAAGTACTCCCCTGCCAAGGAAGAAGGGAGATTGTGTTTGGTTTCTGTGAGTGGAAACAGAGAGCTGAAAACCCTGAAGCAGTAAGGCTGTTTATGTTTATGTTTATGTTGGGAAATGGACAAGCCATCCAACCCAGTTAGCTGATTATTTTGTTTAGTTAGTGCTCAGAAGAGCAAGGCTTTTGTTTGATATATTTTTGTTACCTTTATACCTTACTGTGCATTTATTTTGGAACCTCAATAAAAGAGCAAGTCAGTTTACCTCATCCAGCGTGTGAAGTGTCTCTAAAGCCTGAAAAGACTGTGTGTAACACCCCGATCCCAGGACAAGGTACCAAGGGAAAGGAGTACTTTTGTCAATATATATATATATATATATATATATATATATATATATATAAATTTGCATGAAAAAGAAAAGCAAGAGATGGAATAGCACTAAGTTTCTATAGGGAAGGCAGCACACCTAAACGGGTAAATTCTCTCCTAAAATCCCAAAAGGAATAATAGAAATACAAAACAATAGTGTGCACCAAGGGGTAAGGGATAAAATAGCTATTGATAAGACAATAAAAGTGGAACAAAATGTGCACTGTCCTATGATAAACAAAAATCGTGAATATAATGGAACAAGCAAAAAGTCCAAGATAAAGTCTAATTTACAATAGTGCGGGTAAGTCTGATAGGGTTTGCTTGTATCTTCAGGTTAATGTACCGTCCAGATGTTCAGAATCCAGGAACATAAAAAAGAGAAGAAAAGCTCCAATAGGGTAATTTGTACAAAATAAGGTAAAAGATGTATAAAAGGAAATCCAAATGGCCTACTCACATGGAATAGAGCTAAAACCAGCTCTAGTATATAAAGCCTGCAGTGGATTTGATCCCCTACTTCAGGGATATTGATGGGAGATATTAACATGCAGATGTCTTAGCAATATTTTCACATATATCCTGCTGTCCATAGCAGTACCAGCAAGGGGGAGTGCCTAGAATGACAGACTCCTGCTGCCTGAAAAAAGTTAAATAAAAGTTAAAACACAATGTAAAATAAAATTATATATATATACTTAGATCATATATATATTATATTTATGATCTAAGTATATATATATATATATATATATATATATATACACTTGGAAAAAAGAGAGGAGGAGTCTGCGCTAAGTCTTTTACCATTTTTGATAAACCACCATAGGTGAAACGCGTTAAATGGTTTTATACTGTGTATTTTAACAATAAAAAGTTTTATTTGGTATCCTTTTTTATAGGACCAATCCTATTTTATTGTATATACACTTTTCTTCATTTATTTATTTTTCCTGGCATTTTACTGTATCCTGCTCAAGCAATCCATAGGTGGGGATCATTCCACCAGTGCTGTATATATAGAGCAGTACTTTCTGCTCTATCATTGTGAGTATATTTTATTTCATTTTAATTTTCCTTTTATCTTTTCAAACTGAGAGCACTATTACTGTTTTTATATATCCTGCGGAATACTACGGAAACCAAGTTGGACGGACAGACCCATTTCCACAATATATCCTCTAGCGGGGATTATACCACTAAGTGCCCTTCATCCAAGAGCTGGTCCAAAGCTCCATCAAATGTGAGTGTATCATCCTCCATTTTTATTTTATTTATTCTTTTAGTTACAATACTATACCTTTGGAAGTGCTTTTATCTTCACACATAAACTACCTACAACCCGGACGGATCAACTCCTGAGGATTGTACACACGCCCTATCCATATATCAGTGAGACGATTTTATGTATTTTATTGGACATTTTATTATTTGATCTCTACTGCTGGATGGACTTTGTTTTATTCATTTTATTCATTTTATTAAAGCCTTAAAACAAAAAATAAATTTTTGTGCAATAAAAGAAATCAAAAGAAATTGGAGAGGGGGTAACTATATTCAGACTTTAGGAAAAGAGGAAATGAGTTTTATTTTTCGTTTTAAGACTTCAATCCCCTATGGTCTTAATTCAGATTTTGAAGTGTGTCACTTTTAAATTATAATTTTATATATGTTTCGATAATAATTTTATCTATTTATTCATTTATTACTCTTTTGCCATATTTTTTTTAAATTGATTTTTATGAGTGATTGTAATTGATATTAATCATAATGAGAATGATATATACATTTTTAATCTGTTCTTCATTTATATTATTCATAGTGATGCTATTTTTCTTTTAAGTTAACATATTGTTATAAGATATCTATAACTCTATGTATTCACCTGGAGGGAGAAGGACTAACACATTATATATATGGAGTATATTAAATAAAGACTGTGATATGAGCCCCTCTGTTCTGGAGAAGGACTTAACTATGGAGGACCGGAGCTTTGAAACGCATGTGAACGATTAAGAGTGTGTCACGTGACGCTTGCGCATCACATGACGTTTGCGTTCCACAGATGGAACGCAAAAGCCGAAACTGGAAGCGGAAGTGGGATCAAATTACGGACGGCTAAGAACGCCGAAAAAGACCGCCAAAGGGGGGGATATTTAAAACAGACCACCCAACAACACAAATCAGCAACTGAGGAAGCCTCTAAACGAGGCGAAACGCGTTTTGCACCTTATACAAGGATCAACCTTTAAGACTGTAAGGTTTTCCATTTATTTTAATATATTTTATGTTACCATTGTGCACTTTCAAATAAAGCACTTTATCTTTGCTACATCCTGAGAGGACATCCTATTACTTGGATACTACAGACAGTAGCAAGAAGGGAGTGGGTCCCTTTAGTACCCACAGAGCTACACCCTTGAGCCTTTACATTGGCTCCGTGTTTGTGAGTGCTTTACCTCCCACATATATTGCACCACCAAATTGTGAATTGGCTATATTGCACTATCTCTTTTTATTTATGTTTATACTTTAGGGAGAACTCCTAAAAGGAAATCTTTATCTCATCTATCACTGGATGAATAATTGTTTATATACTCCACCTTATATTGTATGTATATTTCTATTTTTATGTGGGGATAAAGGGAAAACCCACATAAGGTGTTTTGAGTATTTGTCATTTTTTTTGGTGTCACTCATTGGGATATTGTCACAAAGCGATTTCTACAGGAGTAACAACACTTGAGGGAGGAAAGACCAGAATTTCAGTTTTGGTCAAATTTAGTTTAAGGAAGTGGGCAGCCATCCAGTTAGAAACAGCAGAGAGGCAGTCAGAGACACTAGTCAAGAGGGACAGGGAGAGATCAGGAGAGGACAGGTAGATTTGCGTGTCATCTGCATAGAAATGATATTGGAAGCCAAAGGAGCTAATTAGTTTACCAAGGGAGGAAGTATAGGTGGAGAACAGTAGGGGACCAAGGACTGAACCTGGGGGGACACCAACAGAGAGGAGTTGGGGAGAAGAAGCAGAGCCAGAGAAAGAAACACTGAAAGAGCGCTGGGAGAGGTAGGAGGAGCACCAGGAGAGAGCAGTATCTTGTAGACCGATATTGCGGAGGATGAGAAGAAGCTGTTGATGATCAACAGTGTCAAAAGCCACAGACAGGTCAGGGAGAATTAGGATAGAGTAGTGACCACAAGATTTTGCAGCGAGTAGATCATTGGATACTTTGGTCAGTGCCGTTTCCACAGAGTGCTTAGCGTGGGAAACCAGACTGAAGCGGGTCTAGCAGAGAGTTGGACTCGAGGAAGTCTGTCAATCTCGCAATTTTTTCAAGGATCTTGGATGCAAAAGGCAGTAGCGAGATAGGACGATAGTTGGATGGGGAGTAAAGGTCAAGATTGAGCTTCTTTAGAATTGGGGTTACAGTTGCATGTTTGAAGGGCAATGGAAATATACCAGAGGAGAGAGAGAGATTGAGAATTTTAGTGAGAGGTGGAGAAAGAGAAGAAGACAGAGTAGGGATGAGATGCAAGGGAATTGGATCTAGGGAGCAGGTGGTGGGGCGGGAGGACTGGAGCAGAGCAGAAACCTCTTCCAGTGTAGCAGGTGCGAATGAACATAGAACAGCAGAGGGAGTGAAGTTAGGGGAAGTATTGTAAGGGGAAGAAGAAAGATGAGAGATCTCTTCTCTGATTGTAGAGATCTTGTCAGTGAAGTGAGTTGCAAAGTCTGAGGCGGTCAAGTTAGTAGGTGGAGGAGGAACAGCAGGGCGAAGAAGAGAGTTAAATGTGTGAAATAGTCGTTTGGGTTCGCAGGAGAGTGTGGTTATGAGTGTATTGAAGTAATTAACTTTTGCAGAGGAAAGAGCCAAGCTGTATGAGCTCAGCATAAATTTATAGTGGAGAAAGTCAGATGCAGAGTGAGACTTTCTCCAACAGCATTCAGCAGTTCTGGAGCATTTTTGGAGGTATCGAGTGAGCTTGGTGTGCCAGGGTTGTTGTTGCGGGGGCCTGCGGCGTTTAAATGTACAAGGTGCCATGATGTCTAGTTGAGAGGAGAGGGTGGAATTGTAGAAGGAGGTTGCAGAACTAGGACAGGTGCGGTTTGAGATAGGTAAAAGGAGAGTTTGGAGATTAGCGGAGAAATGCTCTAGGTCAAGACATTGGAGGTTTCTGTGAGAGTGATGTTCAGACGGTGGTGTCAATTGGGTCTTGGGTATGCCAATGTCAAAAGTCAGCAGATGGTGGTCAGATAGAGGAAAGGGAGTATTGGAGAGATTAGAGGCAGTACAGAGGTTGGTGAAGGCAAGATCAAGAGTGTTTCCTGCTGTATGGGTTGCTAGATTGGACCATTGCGTAAGACCAAACGAGGAGGTTACAGAGAGCAGACGAGAGGCATATATATATATATTTTTAATTCTAAGTATATATTTATGTCATATTTCTACATAATTAAGTCATTTTATTAATTAAAATTTGCAGGACCTGCGTGCTAGCACTATATTTAACCCTGTAACTTTCCAAGACACCATAAAACCTGTACATGGGGGGTACTGTTTTACTCGGAAGACTTCTCTGAACACAAATATTAGTGTTTCAAAACAGTAAAATGTATTACAACGGTAATATCAGTGAAAGTGATTTTTTTTTTTGTATTTTTCACACACAAACGGCACTTACACGGAAGATATAATTGTAGTGATACGTTTTACTGTACCTGTACATAGGGGGTACTGTTTTACACGTGAGACATCGCTGAATGCAAATACAGGGAGTGCAGAATTATTAGGCAAATTAGTATTTTGACCACATCATCCTCTTTATGCATGTTGTCTTACTCCAAGCTGTATAGGCTCGAAAG